CTATGTTTTTTTTTTTTTTTTTTTTTTTTTTTTTGCTAGTTTAACTGATGGGACAGATAAGGAAGCTTCTTGACTGTGAAAGCACACAGGAAAAGATAGATGCTGAATCTTTTCAATGTTTGTTCAATCTTCATGATTTCACAATGTTTTGTTCAGATGAATATTTGTAATTTTACATGTAGAAATGTACCAGTATTTTTTTTTTTTTTTACCAAAATAGCTCTGGGTTTAGCTTTGAGGAAGTGTGTTATAGAAGCAGCTTAGCAAAAGTTCCATTGCTAACATTCAGTGCTGACCTTCCAATGGAAAATCCATTTTCTCTCATAAAGAAGAATGCAATTTATTTCTCTAAAGCTGGAATGCTAACGGATGCATGCGTATTTATCCTCAGACTTGTTTAGAGCACTAGTCAGTCACAGACAAATCCTTTATGATGCAAGAGAAAACAGTCTTTGTAGCCTTACTCGGCCCCGTGTTAGTGCCAGGTTCACCGGAAAAGCCCCAGCAAATAAACAACTTCACAAAAAATAATTAATGAAGCTGTGGGAAAAGCAATTTAATTTCCTCTCACTGACTATGTGCATAGGTCTCTGAGAAGTGAGGTTCAGTATGAAAACAGAGAGGAAAAGTTGCTTTTAATATAAATTTTATCTGGCAAGTCATAACAGGGCAAATCAGAGCATGAAGATAACATTAAGTTAAATTGAATGTACTGAATGTGTCACAACTTCAATGTTTTTATTGATGACCTTTGACTCTCACCACCCTCCGTCCTTTCTTTCTTCCCCAACACATAGGATGGATATATCATTTGTTTGTTTGTTTGTTTGTTCTTACCCAGCAGTGCTCCAATAGCTCAGATCCCACAGAATTATTTTAACTAGTTATCAGAATCAGTAGCAACTTCTGTACAAATAAATAAATACAATATGCAATAAAGCAACCAAAAATATTAGATACAGACTATAGACACAGAAACAAAACAAACAGACAAAAAAACAACACATTATTAAGCAGCATACCATGAAAAGTCCTTTGCATAGCTTTGTTTCTGGATGCTGGTGATACAGTACACTGTTATAGGTCTCAAAGGAATCCCATTTCCTGTTACTAATTAAACAGCTGTTTCTGTATTTTGTTGAGCTGTGTCTTCCAGTAGGGAATAATGATCAATTGGAGGAAGCCCTTGACCTTTGAATTTGTTCATAGCCGCAGGTTGCTTGTAAGTAGAGTAAGCAGATAACTTCCTAAAAAATGTCCAAACTCATTGGCCATTTATGTCCAATTGTGTGTTTTTTTCTTCAAGCTTTGTATGATTCAGCTAAAATGGGCTAAACT